TCTCTCTCTCTCTCTCTCTCTCTCTCTCTCTCTCTCTCTCTCTCTCTCTCTCTCTCTCTTGCTAAAATGCTATCTCCTTAAATATGTTATATTGCATGAAAATTTAGTCAAACTGAATTTTAGTTATTATGGCATATAGTGTAGTCACTTTTTAAATACTGTCTTATTGTTATTTAGCAAGTTAACTTGCTGTTTAGATTTTAGTTATTTCAATGTTTTTAATAAGATTTTCAGAGAAGAAAAATTAAATTTTCTGACAAATATGTTCTGTTGCATTCTTTCAGATAGAGTCTGAATCAGGAACAAATTTAATCTGTTTCTGTGGTTTCAACTATATTGTTTAGTATTTTTATTGAACATTGAATTTTCCTTTTTTCTAAAGCATTATATTTTGATAGTAAGCTACAGTACTTCTGTAGAAGTATCAACCTATAAATTAAGAAAGTTTTGAAGTATAATAAAATACAGATGCTGTTTCTGACCTCTGAGATCAGTCAGAAAGTTTCATATGCTTTCTCCCTTTACACAGAACTAACGATTATTTTCTCAATATAAAAAGTTTGGCATTTCCATATAGGATTTTGTTGTTTTTTAAAAACAACTTGTAGCTACTTCAAACACTTTCTTAACATAGGCAGACAAATTACAGATTCACATCTTTGAACTCTAGAAAAGGTTTAGGTTGGGAGTAAAGTAATTTATCATGTTGCATTGATACTATAATAATTTACATTATAATATTCACATCTGAATTCACCTGAGAATATTGCTTTACAATTTCTTACCAGTTTCTTTTATGAATATATTTGGTAAATCAGACTATATGATTAAAATGTGTAAAGGCAAAGCTGATCTTTAAAAAGTGAGTTTATTCACAGATAAAGAGAAAGTAGAATTGCCAGACAGTCCTCAACAGTCATCTGGATATAGTTCATCTGTATCAGCAGATCCATCTCCCAAAGCCCTGGCTATTAATGATGATGTTGTGTCAGAGGTTTCAAAGGTAAGTTAAAACTGACACATACATATATATTCTGGCAGAGCTATAGAAAGTTTGTGATTTTATTTGTCTTTGGTAATGCAAGTATACAAAGTTAAAACTCTTGCTTTTAAATTGTAGGAAACAGCAATTCAAAAAATGGAAAGAATAAGCAAAATGTAAGTAAGATACAGTATTATTTTTTAGCAAATAAGATTTGAAATGTAGATACAGAATACAGAAAACAATTTAATGGACCTTAAATAACAGTGTCACATTCTGGCGTTTATCAGACAAGAAAAGTAGAAGACAAAGTTAATTGAGCACTTTTTATCTTGCAAGCTGGAAATCCAGACAAATGTTTCAAAGTTTAATAGCATTTGTATGCCGCCCAATCCCATGGGACTCCGGGTGGCTAACAATACAAATAAAAAAGAATAGAGGAAAGAAAAGATAGATTTAAAAACAGGCCATGCACTCCATTTGAGGTGGGGCTGGACCATATTTTGGGGTCAACAGCCCCAGGCCTGCCGGAACAGCCAGGTTTTAGTGGCCTTACGGAAGGTCGAGAGAGTGTGAAGG